TTTTGCCCCACTGGCTTTGTGGAGCCCCTGTTATCTTTCCCGGTCTTTAAAATAAGGATCATATACTCATTTCCCGATCCCTCAAGGTGCTATCCGTATGTAGTCATATACCGCGGGAACTTCTGGTACAGCATGTAGTGGCACAGAAAATTAAGACCCGTAAAACATTCTCCTATAAGATTTTGTCTGATTATTACCATCCCGTGTATCTTGCTGTTAGACAGTGCCTTTCCTAATCATACACCCGTTCCAGTTAGATACTTACAGTGGCAAACAATGAGTCTTACATGCGCTCTATTGCCCCGTATCTCAGCAGATTTCTCATAAATCACGAACTCTCTGCAGAAAATCTGCGCAGAATGTTGATCTAAACTGATGATTAAAACCATGTTNNNNCTGCTTTACCTTTTTAAATTACTGTTATATTTCCCATTATTTGGCACATTGAAGTTATGCGGTTGCTGAATATCCACCCCACAGGTGCATAAGCCGATCCATCGACTTGCCTTAAATGAACTGAGGGCGGCTTTGTAGAATAGATGAAAAGTGAGATTTCAACCAAGAGTAGGTTTTGCAAGCCTTTCGGAAGTTTTAGTAAATTACCAACAGAATTAACGAGTTGGTTTCACATACGATCCACACACGATCATGTAGGTCACGTGATCATGCGGGTCGATTTGACAAAGTAAAGTCACTATTTAAAAACTGTACCGTGTTATCCACCTACATAGATGACAGTTATCCCTCGCTCCAGAGTTTGAGCATGCAGTCCTAGATCAGTAAGCTATAGAGATAAATGTCAGACGAACTATTGGAATTAGATCTTCCGCCAGGCTATGTTGAATTACTGCAACATTTTACTATTTCCGTGTTACGATCGAAACCGACCAATCTGATTAATTATGCAATTGACTATTTCACTAATCTACGCGACGAAGCGGAAGCAGTCGAGCATTTTTTTCCAACGGGACACAATCCACCGATTCTCTTGTTGAAATCGAAAAGTAACCGGGAGGATGAGGAGAAGAACAAGTTGGAATCCAAAGAAATGTCGACCACAGTAAGTCACTCACCGAGATTTGATAGACATCAGAACGAAAACCTTAAAGATCATAATCAGGATGAACAAGAAGAAGAAGAAGAAGAACCAATTGCATCGATTCAATCAGGCCCACCTCGATTTAGACGAGCAAGTATTGCCGCGGAACCATACAATCCAGATGATGCTGGGGACAATGATGAGGAAGAAGAAGAACAGGAAATAGAGGAGGTAGACAAGAAGACACCTGAGCAATATGGCCGACTCGTGGAGGTGTGTAAGAAAATTATGTTGTTCCGTAATATGGAAGAGGAACAGTTGGAGAAGGTGATTCATACAATGACTGAACAAAGATTTCAACCCGGTGATAAGATCATTGTACAAGGTGAAGAAGGTAATAACTTCTATGTGATTGATTCCGGCATCTATGAGGTCTTCATTCGGGATGCTAATGGCCAAGATAAATCGGTGTTTGAATACCAGAATGAAGGCTATTTCGGAGAACTGGCATTGATGTACAATGCTCCACGTTCGGCCACCGTGGTTGCAAAAACCACGGGACGTGTATGGTCCATGGAACGGAAACATTTTCGTAAGTTCATCATGTCTCATGCGGTGCGTCAGCGAAGAGCTTTCATTCAACTGTTGCATTCGGTTCAGATGCTGCAAGAGTTAAGTCCCTACGAGCGAATGAATTTGGCAGATGCATTGATCAAGCGATCCTATCAGGACGGAGAGTGTATAATCCGGGAAGGTGAACCGGGAAGAGAAATGTATTTTATCATGCAAGGCCGAGTACGCGTGGAACGAAAAGCCACTGATGGACTTCACACCGCGATGGGTGAATTGGGCAAAGGGCAGTATTTTGGTGAATTGGCTTTACTGAGCGATCAGCCTCGGGCTGCTAGTGTGTTTGCTTTGGGCAAAGTAATCCTGGCCGTTTTGGGTGTGGAAAGCTTCGAGCGACTTCTCGGTCCGTGTGTTGCAATTATGCGCCGGAATACGACACTCTATGGTAACCCGTCCAATTAGTTGTCTCATGGACAACATCGTCAGTCGGAGTAGTTTCAGTTTGCTGAACGTAATCCACTTCGTTTGTTTAGACAACCTCAATTCGAAGGTGAAAAATCAATGAACGGCTTATTCAAACTATATTTGATGGCATACAAAGAAGCTATTCTTTCGAAATCACGTTGATGTATCCCGGTCCTTTTTATTTCTCGTTATCAAACCGACTGCCTGATTTCCGTCATACCTCTACCCAGTTGTGATATTCGTTATCGTCACTGAACTCACCAGTTTCAGTTTATGCAACTTTTGACGTTTCAGGTCCGTGCGCTGGCTTCTGTTGTTAACTCACAGCTGCTTAAATTTATTTAAGCAATATAGATCTGTGAGATCAGTTGTAAAATGAAAAGATAGAAAAACATGGATCCCATTGGATTGGCAGTATACGTGCAAGCTTCCAATTTCATGATTCGCAGCTATATTGCCGAACAACCTTAGCCACCGAACAGCCTTTGCACAAGGTGACCATCTGGGCCATGTAGTACAACCTGCCCGATAGGGTTTTCACAACTTTGTACCACGTCTAATTATCATTGGTATTCGGGCAAATACTGCCTGTCTCGGAAAATGGCGTATGCAGAAGTGGTCTATCCTGTAGAATGCGTGGGCCTCGGCGAGGTCAAAATTAATGAGTAAATGTCTCCAGCACACTCATATATGCAAGGTAAAGCTAGGGTACAGTTCCATAGACTGGGTTGAATGTTGCTTCTGGGCTATCATGATTATCGTCTTCTTCATTAGCAGCAGCATACTGGTCGTTGTCCTTTGAAGCATCGTCAGCTTGATTGATAAAACTAATCTGCGTACTACGGAAGCATTATACTATACATTTTGTAATGAGACTGAATGCAATCTATAACTTTTTGCAATTCAAGCTTTTCGCGTATGCAAACCAGAGGTTTGGGCATCATTCCATGATGCCTGTATTATTTCAAACTCCTGCGTGCACCGTGTTACAGCTGCCAGACCCACGTACTGTTTAAGCCTCAGAGCGATGTTTGGATGACAACCTCGTAACACAGATTTGGCAATCTTTTATTGAAGTGCTGCAAGGTGACAGTTCTGCAACCTGCCTTGGTCACATATGCCCCTGATTCCATGGCATATCTTAGCTGTTTACCTTGCCAGTATTTGCCCCTCTCCCCGAAAAATCATACCGTACCATGTCCGCTCACACCCATGGGCCATGCGCACTGGAGGCTTGAGCCCACCGTCTCACAACCGTTATTCATGCGCGGTCGATTTACGCGTCTATGCTGTATCGTGATCATCCAGATATCGCTACGAAGCTTCAACTGTACGTGGGCCTCGCAGCTCCGGTGTGGTTTTCTTAACCGAGAATGGGACTTAGAGAAAATTGGGTCACCTATCATGTGCGATTGGGCAGTGTCAGCTACTGTTGGACACGACGCCTAAACCAGTCAGGTTCGTAAAACAATATTTTTGCCTACTGTGGTTGCGTCAGGGCAAACATTCTATAGAAGCGTAGCCATATCCGCTTAAAGTATATCCACACTCTTTTCCCCGCTTCTGTAACCACTTTTTCGTTAACCCATGGTTAATTTACAGCCGTATCTGCAACGTATGGTGTTATATATATATATATATATATATATATATATATATATATAATTTTAGCGACATTATCTTCATCGTTTCCATATAGGATTCACCTCGATAAAGTTTGAACGTGTTCAATTTTTCAGCATCAAGTGTAGGATGTTCGCTGTGTTTGTTTGAAAAAATGTGTTGCATTTCAAAAACGAACAGTGCATCATCACGAAAGACTCTGAGAGCAGTGTGAGGATCTTTTACCGAGGTAACCATTGTGTTATTACGATCATTTTTAGTGGAACACAAGTGAAGTGAATTCAAAATTTTACTCGGGGTTTTATTTTGATGATTGATTGGATTTTCGTATATAATTACTTCAGTGTATTTGGGATGGTGGACAAAATAAATAAATAAATTTGGAAGCGGTACTTTTGTTAATGTGCTTTGATCCTTACCCCAGTTGTCCTCAACCCAGTTCGGCGTTGAACTAACACGAGTAGGATTACTTTGTCCAGCCACGGGGATCCTTTAATCTGTTGTCAGGTCACCGTGCTGCTCATATTTTGTTACGTAATCCCGACAGCTGTTTTGTATTGGGTCATTGCGACGATTAAATTCAAATTAAGTTATCAACCCTGGGTGGGATTTGTTAGTAGGGGTGGTGTAGTGGAAGATTTTATTTAACTTAATGAGAATGTTCGTCCTACGTAAAGCTCAGGGAAGGTGAATCGTAACCTTAGGAAGCACTGGGGACAGCTATTCGATCTGGTTGGGTTTCATCAGTATTGGGGATCAAGTCAGGATCAAAACCGGGAATGGGGAGACCGTAAGAGTATTAACCATTTAACCGCCGAACAGCTGATCCCATATTAGCTCCACTATAACTTCAGACCCTTACGAATTTAACCATTGGTAGACTGGTTTTTCTTTGTTCTTTTTCCCAATTAGAAATTGAAGCTAACATTGATGTTTTGTATCATTCTCTGGAAGGCCCCGTTTGGAATGATTACTTGGTTACATCCATTTGAGTGATATGCGGAACATGGGGATGCAAAGTAGACGGAAGAGAATGAGCTAACTTGACCCGTAAGTTGTGGGTTCTCATCGTTATCAAATTTAGTGATGATGATGATGGAGATTTCTAGTTCATGGTTGATATATGGCCTTAATTTTTCCTTCATTTGTGAACACACATTTATGCAATGGCGGCAAACAAAAAACAGTACCAGTTGGACCAAGTTACTTGATCACTTTTAGTTACCAGGTAGAATGAGACTTCACGTTCGGTAGGTAAACTGCAAATGCAAGGTAGGAAAGAGGACGGATTTCAAGTGTATTGGTGGGTTCATTTCGGTCAAACGAAGGAGTTTATCTTATACCAAACGAAAGAAGCGTAAGGAGAAAAGTAAGGAATCGATAAACAGCTGTTCCATGAACAATGCGAACCCTCTGACCCAACTAAAAATCGAAACAAGGACGTCATTATCAGAACACAAGGGTCTTATACTATTGACCACCGGATAGTTTTGAGATCTTACGTACAAAATTCATCACGAAATCTAGATACTCTCTTATGTTGTACCACGTTTAATTGAAAATTTTCGACAGTTTCATTTGCGAAATTCGTCGTGTACAGAGAAAATCAAGCCCCAACTTAAAAGTTAAGAAGCACTGTACGTCGGGTTCAACCTGGTTGGGTCTCGTCAACAGTACAAATCTTACGTCTTTTGACTTGCCTGTGCAAATTCATTACGGGATCTATACCATTTCAAATTTGAATTGAGAAACTATCACTTAGATTTGGGAAGGAAACGTTGTGGTTGGATCCGCGTCCGCTAAGCGCATCCTATTGGTAAATTGATCACTCGTTTCTTCTACTCCCCGACTGACAACCCGTCTTCCCACGCTCTTTCTGTGTTGAAATGAAGCANTGTGAGAGAGAACCAAGTGAGATAGGAGTCGATAAGCACGAAGGATGACGCATTGTTTCGTGCACGCTACAACGGGTCGTAGTTGTTCGGACATTGAAGCTAACTGATTGACCAAAGTAACTAAGATGAGGGACGAGTTTTGCACTTGCAGTGTACTCCGAGCGATGCATCTACTTGGTTATGCACGATCAACATAGTTGCTGGGACAATAGCTCAGACAGCCACGCTTACCGCAATCATTACGGCCAATGCAAAAGTTAACAGGTGAACCGGGGCTCAAAGTGAACCGTTCTTTCATGGGGGGAGGGTAGTATTACTGAACCGTACATGCCTTACTGCGGTTTGCTGATTTAGTAGTCATCGATGTGCTTGCAACGCCGATAGCTTTGGTCCGAATGGTAACGGGAGAAGTAAAACGGTGTGATACAAAACAAATACTGTTTGTCCACGTTCACTTATGTTTTTCGTCGCTCTCTGAGACCGGTTCAACTGTGCTCACAATGATTTGCACAAGTGAACCGTTCTGCCTTTCGAAGAATGAGAGGATTGGCATCTGTTTTCAAGGCACAAGGGTGTAAATTATAAGACTGTTACCAGTGAATATTGCGAGGTAAAGCTACTGAGGATGCCACCATACTCGTAAATGTTCAGTCCTATTGAACATATGTGGAACTTCATTAGGAGCAAAGTCAAGGGGGATTTGAGCGATGATTATCCCAGTCTCCCTCAAGGAGATCGAGAAGGGGTAGTCAGTGAAACGGAGTGGCGAATGGAGTTTATGGAACAGTCAGTTGCGAGCACGAGTGATACTCATTGCGGTCGGGTCGTGTGACATTCGCAGACAGTTGACATGCATACTCGAAAATATTAAAAGGGAGCTTCGCGGTTGGTCATAAGCACTCAATGACACCATTTTCGAATTCCTCCATAACCTGACTTATTTGCTTACTTACTTACTTACTTACATCCGCCAATAAGAGAATAAGTAGGTTTTTCTTATGTCCATCAAAATAAACAGGGGTGGACTAACATCACACAGGGATGATTATCCTTTTCCAAAATAAATAATTCACAATAGTCCGCTTATACTCGAGGCCTCAAAATGGTTGGGAAAATATGATGATTGCTTATCAGGTAGCTATACGAAACGTCTGGCATAAAGATGTTATGATAAACAAATGACTGCAATGTTAGATGGAAGATGGAAGATGATAAGAAATTCTTGGTCGAAAAATCGGGAGGTTCTTCACAGATGTACTCTTCTGAATATGAATTCTGAATTAGATTCGATGTGCTTTGGCCTTTTAACGTTTGAGTTGCTAACTAAAATTATGTGAACAGGTGATCCGGAATGTGTAGATACTATATGATAAATAAAAAAGAAACTTCAATGCATGTGGTTGGGTTTAAGGAAGATAAACATCATAAGACCATGCAGAAATGGAACTTAGGGCTGATTGAGGGGGTTGATGAAAATGA